TGTGTGCTGTGCACTTAAAAACCATCAAGGGGATTTTTTTCTTTCAGGGCTGTTTCCATGGTGTTTCTCTGTTATTGGTCAGTATACACTGGAGAGTTTGGGGGCAGATGGTGAGAGGATAAGACGTGATAAAGGTCGTGCCCCTGGTGCAAACCCATACCGAGGGCTTCAAGACCGGCGGGCACTTCATGTGTGATCTTTGTATCATCTTAGCTCTGTACAAGATGTTTCTAGTGTTTTCATTTTTACAGGATCACACCGTGTCAGATAGAATATTATCTGCAGTGAGGAACTAGTAAGACTATTGACCTAATAAGACAATTGGGCAAGTTACCTAGATCAACTAGAGGTCTAATTTTGCCCAAAAACAAGCTGGTTGGTAAAATATTGAAAGTGACCACTAATAGTAGCTGTGATTTAAATGGAAGTTAATTATTCTCAAACTTTCTTTGATGTGCATAAAGTAGAGGAAAAATGCACTTGTACAAAGAGAGAATTGCATATCTTGTCAGGTGAATCATGGGGTTTAATTAACTTGATGCATGGGAGATCAACTTTGGGTTATAAAAAGCTCATCTGGCTCGATGATACAGTTAAAGACTCCCTGATAACTGTCACATAATAATAGGCTCACATGTTACTATAGCAACTATCTGCCACGTGGATTTGTTAGTGTGTGAGGCCTTGAGATCAGTTGATTATTTCCCATTTTTCTCCATTTGTAAAGAACGCACTTAACATCCTGATACTGGACTTAATGTAAGAAAAGACTAATTTATTTCACGGTCAATGAAGTTCAGATGCTTAGCACGGAAGACTGCGTTAATTTAAGAATGAGGCAAAATCACTATTTTGTTTCACTTATTAATAATATATCACTTATTACCCTACTACTCGAATGATTCTCCTGTAGATCAGCTTTTTATTTTCAGCCTGGACAAAAGGTCACTACTTCATCCTTTCATATCCAAATGTATGATTTTTCCTTCTTTCTTCTCAAAAGTATTTTAGTAATTATAATAGACCAACCCCCAATCTCCCCTTTGCGCACACACACACACACACACCCCTCCTCCCAAAAATAATGAAATGTCTTTCCTCCTGAGGTAGCTTCTGAAATAATGGGCAGCGAGAGGGAGAGGGGGAGACCATAAACGATAATGAACCACCTCATTCTGCTTTTTTAATTCCCTCTGATTCCCCCCCCTCCTCCCCCTTTCATCCCGCTGTCACCTACACATTTTCTCATTTTTATTTTCACCCTGTCCAAGCACATCCACCCCCCCTCCTCATCCTCTCCTCCTCATCCTCTCCACCTTCCTCCAGACAGAGCCACCGCCCTGCCATCTCTCTCACCTCCTCTTGTCTCCTCTCCTCTCACTCCTCACCCGTTTGTCTGCACCCCCCCCTCCCCCCCACCCCTGCCAGGAAGCATCCTGGGTAATTTCCTCCTCTTATTGAATTGGGACGGGGGGCTGATGGAGGGAAAGATAAAGGGATGGGCAGATGAGCGGAGGCTTGGGATGAGTGCTAATGGAGCCAGTGGAGGATTCGCACATCACAAATATGCAGCACATCCTCCTCTTCTTCTTCTTCTGCTGTCTTCCTGTATCTCATGTTCTCTCTCTGGAGTAAAAGTACAGATGCCCTTCTCTCCCTTTTTCCCTCCTCTCCTCTCACTCTCACTCATAACCACAACAACCTAGACAAAAGACTCAGACCTTCTTTTCACAGAATGCTTTGCTATTGAACTATCCTGCACTCACAAAGACACACACACACACTGAACCTAATGCTCCCCCGTGTCCTATGTTATTTCTATAGGTGAGTGAGTCATTGTTCCTCTATTCTTGTCTGTACGTTTGCTCCTATGGGCCGTACACTGTAATCTTTCTGCAGCACAGTCTCATCCTCACACGCACGCACGCACACACACACACACACACACACACACACACACACACACACACACACACACACACACACACACACACAACACACACACACACACACACACACACACACACACACACACACACACACACACACACACACACACAACACACACACACACACACACACACACACACACACACACACACACACACACACACACACACACACACACACACACACACACACACACACACACACACACACCACACACACACACACACACACACACACACACACACACACACACACACACACACCACACACACACACACACACACACACACACACACACACACACACACACACACACACACACACACACATGTTCTATACATTCTGCCGAAAACAACACCTATATTTTAACTTGAGCTATTAGCTTAAAGAACTTCAAATATGAGTGTTTTGTTAGAGGTAGGTGAATAGCACATACTTTGCAGCTTTTCAAGATTAATTAGCGCTAAAACGTTAAACGCACATAGGGAACAAGAACTGTAGGGTTAAATAAAGTAAACATTTCCCTCGGGGGACATTGTATCTCTATTACTTTGTTTTTGAGAGGTTTTTTTATTAAACATTCACCAGTTATGCTGTTTCTGTTGGATAATAAGGTTTCTGGAGGACAACTGTAAACCTTGTGGATCTTCCATTTTATTAATAAGATCTACTGTAGATTGTTATTTTCGCTTATTTTGTTTGATTTAATGTCTTGGTTATTGAACTTCTCCTTACATGCATTGTAAATTGAACTTTATGATAGGCTCCCCTTCAGCAGGAGATATATCTGGCCCGTCCTGCCCTCCCATCTGTGGTGAAGTTGATTGTCTTTGCACAATCGTATGACTGACATGAGTCCTCATAAATCTCATAATGAAAGTTGCTGAATATTGGCACACAGCCTCGACTATTGATCGAGATCCCACATCAGTGGAACCTTCACCGCTGTACGCTGCAGACAGCAACAACATATTTTATTCATCGCTCACAGTCTGCTTGTGATGCAGATCATTACACTGACAGATGTAGAGGAATTATGGTTATCTTACAACATTTGAGAAACTTGATTCTGTCCTTGAGTGTCTTTTGATAATTGGTACGGAACAGACTTCAGGTCTTTCATCATTAAACTACAAGCAGCGATTATCAGTGAGTTAAAGGGTAAAAGCTGCAACAGTTGGACAAACAATTACTGTTTTCCCCCGCGATGATAAGGTCACACAGAGAAATGTATGGTGGAGACTTCAATAGAGAAAAATGTGTTTTTTATAAAAAATAAGAAGTTTTTTTCAATGCTGGATTCTAACATGGAAGTGATAATGAGAAGCGTGTCAATATGTCAATGTGATCTAATTGAGGGGCTTTGACATTGTGTGACCAAACAGACTGATAGAACTGCGTGTGTGTGTGTGTGTGTGTGTGTGTGTGTGTGTGTGTGTGTGTGTGTGTGTGTGTGTGTGTGTGTGTGTGTGTGTGTGTGTGAAGGATTAGTTGCCAAAAAAATAGATAGTGTGGGGAAAGGTGTGGAAGTATTGAACTGCATGTGGGTTTTTTAACGTCTCCGAGTGTGTGTACGTGTGTTTGCGTGCGTGTGAATGTGTGTGGGTGTCTGAATATATCTTTGACAGACAGACAGACAGATATATTGGCATTCCACTGTAAATTGGCACTTCAGTGTCTCTCTCTCTCCTCAGCTAATTAACTCAACGCTCAGGGGCCTGGCTTAATTGGAACGAGTGTAATCCGCCCACCCGTTATCTAGACACACAAACACACACACTCCCTTATTCACATGCACACAGGGAATATGATTGACAGCGAGTGTGTGGCACTGATAGCCAGAGTGGCAGAGGGTGAAGTGGTGTGGGAACAATACGGAATATACCACACACACACACACACACACACACACACACACACACACACACACACACACACACACACACACACACACACACACACACACACACACACACACACACACACACACACACACACACACACACACACACACACACACACACACACACACACACACACACACACACACACACACACACACACACACACACACACACACACACACACACACACACACACACACACACACACACACACACACACACACACACACACACACACACACACACACACACACACACACACACACACACCTATTTATTCAGGTTTGTCTCTTCCTATACTACCTGGCAGTCTGTTCTTTTGATGGATGATTCAGGGCAATGTTGCAAACCAACAGGTCTGATTTCTCTACGTTCAAATGCAGCCCTCTAGCAGCCATGGTACACGTTGTGGCTCTAGTTATTGTTTAGGTTAATTACACTTTGCCTATTGAATATTTGTGGGTTTTGGTTTTGTCCGGACAACACAAGCTATTTAAAGAGTTGAACCTGGGCACTGGGAACTTGTGCTTGACATTTTTACTTTTTCTTGCATTTGATATGCTACGTTACTCTGAAATAATGTAAAATGCATTGATAGTAAACTAGTTCAAAGTGATTGAATGCAAAACCAGCTCTTCTGGGTATATTTTCTATAGAAACCTTTTTTATTCTGAGAAATGGAAAAACTATTGTTTTCTGCTAATCAATCTACTTGTCTAACCATTCATTGTTCACATCTTTGTAGGCTAGCATAAATTAGTCATTGGATAAATATGCATTCAGTGCAGAGAAAACACAAACAACACTGTCTCGTACCTAATGAGAAGAAATGGTTTTGGTCCACTGACCTCCAGGACTGACAGACTGAAACATTACAATGTTTTAATTGCAAGTTGATGTGTGGGAGTTATATTTTCCAGCAAGGCATTAGTGGGCCTCCTACACGTCTTTGCTCAACACTCCAGTGTAAAAAAACAACCTGCTGGTTTGTCAAGATTTACTCTCAGGGAAATACTCGAGCTCTCAGGGTGCTCAGAAACACACACAACACATATTCTGTCTGACAGCACAGGCAGAAGCGTAAATTAAAAACAATGTGGCACTGCAGCCTCATACGGAGAGCTCGGCCTCCGTGACTTCACGTACCTTGTTGTTGCTCATGCACTGCAGCTTCATGTGTTTCATGTAGGTGGTGGTGAGAGGCATGTTGTAGTCTATCACCTCCAACACCAGAGAGCTCGGCCTGTCGTTCTCTGGAGACGAGAGGAGAAGAGACAGACGTCAGGCACTGATAACAATCCGTCCCTTTTTTTTTGCTTTAATGTTGTAGTTACAATACGATGGGAAAATAACGGATTATTCTGGGGAGACACAAATTATGCAGCAACAAGCATTCACATACACAGTGTAGGCAGTGTTGTGGAGTTTGAAACAAATGTGTATCATCATTAAAATATGTATCTTTAACTACAATGTTAAGCAGGTAATGCTGTATGGATGAATCAGAGAAAAGGAAAACAACTAATAAACATCTGCCCCAGAAGAATACTAAACATCTGGTAGAGAGATAGAAAATCAAAGAATGTCAAAACAGGATCCCATCAAATATTTGGTGGAAAACATTTTGCTTTTAGAAATAAAGTTACTAACATTTTCTGAAAGGTCGCTATATCTCATCTCTTATTTAGACGTCACTATTTCACTGTGATATCATTTGGAATAAATAGAATATCACTTTAAGAAGATATTTTATTTGTACTAAATACGTTTTAAAAATTAAGTAAATAAGAGAGAATGGGGAAAAAAGAGAAAATCCCAGTTTACTGTTTATTCATATTGTATGAATTGTACTCCAAAATAATATGAATATCGCTTTGGCCAGTCTTCTTATTCCCTCTAAAATACATTACATGTATAAGAATTGAAACAAATTAGTCATTTGGATTCAGTGTGATTAAGGGATAGGTTATTAAAACACTGTTGTGTATGTGCAAAATCACCAAAACTGATTGAAAGACACTTAAAATCAACTTAAAAAGAACATAATTGAGCTAAATCAAAGCTAAAAAAAAACTGCTAGGGTAGGTACGTTTGAGAAACCGGCTCGAGATACACTTTTTGTTATATTCCATGGAATGCTCTTAACATCCCGATAGCAATGAATATCTTAAGTGCTTGGACAAAAAATCCATTAAAAAATGTCATCTGTGGAAGCCGTAATACTGTAAAAAGTACGACCAATCATTTTAGCCGGCCCGGCTAAAATAACTGGATGGCCTACCTGCCTGTCAGCCTTCCATCTGTGCACAAACTTATCTCGTGCCCTCATTGGTCATGTGCGCGTTCGTGTGTGTTGGAGGAGGGGCTCTATAAGGAAGTGGCACATTTTCTCTGGTTGTGTATTTTCAAATTCTAGCGATCTCGAGCCGGTTTCTCAAACTTACTTACCCTACCTTTAACTGCATTCTGCTATAATGTCAGATTTTAAAGTTTCACGAGGACACTAAATGTATAATCTTATCCCCTCTACTAACTGACAGTTGGTTGCTATCCTCCTAAACCCCCTGGCTGTTAATGCTGAGTCTCACATCGTGCCTTTCCAGCGAGCCGACACTAGAGGCCGCTGGAGAGCAGCACAGACAAAGAGGAGCAGGCTGACCCTGCTGATGCCTTTAAATCCAAACTAAAAAACTCAATTTAACTTTGACTTAGCCGTTTCCTCATTGATTACATTGAAAAGCAAATAGCTAACTTTATTATTCCAGGCATGTCCTCTGTACTTTCTCTACATTTTGTCTACATTGTTATTATCCATCCTCAATTGCTCTTTCCAGATTTTCCTGTAGATCTTTGGAAAATGTTGTAAAACACCTTGAGGCTAATTTGTGATTGTATTATTGGGCTGGAAAAATAAAGTTGAAGAGAGGTTGAGATGTAACATAAACAAAAAATATTAGTCTATCTTTGTCCAAATATGTTCAGGACAAAAGCTTTTTTCTCTGCTTTAGCAGGAAATAAAAGCACATAACACACCACACTATCTCTCAATCTCCACCCACACGTCTCTCCTCTGCCTCTCCTTTTTAGTCATTTATCTAACTGACCTGTTAAAGGACGGGTCTAACGTCTGGAGCGTCCGCAAAATGGACAATACAGGCCACCAGATCAATACGGCTTAGCAGAATAGACATCATTGATTGGTGATTGATAGCCATGTACATGTATGAGGACGGGAGAAAGAGAGTGTGTGTGTATTCTCCAGAGAAGGACACACTGTGATAACTGAGTGATGATGTGACACAAAGCTGCAACACGCCTGCTCGCTCAGGACAAAGATGATCTTAGACCTGAGATGGTGTTTGAAATGTGTAAAACTAAAGAAAGAAAGAAAATAACGTTTTAGAATATTTTTGCTGTGTGAATGGATGTAATAGTGAGCATGAAATGCAGGTTTAAATGTCCATATGTTAAGAAAGGTCTACTAAAAAGGCTGTCATTTTATAAGAACATAGGAGGTTCCCATCAAATGTGTATGAAGAAGTTTATAAATAATCCAAACTGAACCTCACAAATCAGAAATGCCCGCAGGTGTTGATTGGATAGCTGTTGTTAGCAACTCCTCCAAAATGTAAGGTTGAGCAATTTTAAAGAATTGGCAAACATAAGGTCAAGATATATATAGAGAGCCTCTTTAACATTTCATTTTGTGTATCTGTTCTCTAAGCGTAGGTGCGCTTCTCACACAACAACAACAAGTTATTTGTTCTGGAAACCTGTAATATTCCATACCCGACGACACAAAAATAAGACCATAAGTAAGTAGACTGTTGGTTTTTGACAATGCGACAGGTCTGTTTGCTGTGAGGTAGTGTGGTCGTCTACCAATCAGAAGGTTTGGGGTTGGATCTAGGCCCATGCATGTCAGTGCAAGATATTTACGGAGTATGGGTTGAAAGACGGCAAAAGCACTATATAAATTCAGTCCATTTAGTTTTCTGCAATAGACACTCAAGTCAAATTTATTTATGGAAGTCCAAGATCGCAAGTTTGGCTCAAAGGACTTTTGTAATAGACACTACACTGTCTGTCCTGAGACGCTTAACTTTTAAACGTTCCCGAAAGATCAACAGAGGAGTGTTCACTCTTATAGGAATGTGATACACTGCATTAATAATATCTTCCACTACACACTAACACATGCCAACACACACAAACACCGACACACAGCGAGCCTGCTGCCTGTGTCAATTAAACATGGTCTTGGTCCACACTGATTAATTGCATTTAATAATTCACAGCTGAACTTTAGTGGGAGTCACTTCAGTGTAGCGATAAAGGGGGCTGAGGGTGTATGTGTGTGTGTGTGTGTCAGGGAGAGGTTGAACCCCCACAGGGTAGGAAGGCAATTAGCTGCTTTCTCTCTCCAAGTGCTATCCAATGATGGCGAAATGTACACACACATGTACACCCACACCCACACACATGTACACCCACACCCACGTACACCCACACCCACACACACACATACACACACAGCCCAAGTATCACAGCTGTGGCTGTTACTCTATGTGCGTCTGTGTTTAAATGTCTGCTTTTTTTATCTTTCAATTTAATTTTGTCCAATTGAACATTATTTTACCATTTTAATTTCTTTTTTTTCTGATCAATGATCAGCTTGTCCAAGCAAAAAGGCAAATCAAATTGTGTTTTTTAATTCACATTAAATCTTACATAAACAAAAGCGTACAAAGCTGTCGCTGTGTAATATACGGCAGCAAGTTCTTTTTTCTGAAGTTGGTTATGGATAATTGCAAAAAAAATCAATTTGTGTAACGGAAAGCAACTTTGCCGAGTCAGTACTACCCTCTCACGCCTTCTCTTCAAATCTCCTTTTGTCTTCCCCCTTTTTCTTCCACATCTCAGTTTCTCTTCTTAGCCCCCCACCCCCCCAACAGTGCTGGTTCTTTCTCCCTTTCTCCCCCGACTGGCAAATGAGCTCGTTTCCTGGGCCATTTTCTTTGTTAAAAGCCATTAATTAGGCTAATTGAGGAGAGAGACAGGACATTCCAATGACTCCTCTGTTTAATGAGGGACGAGGAGGAAAATCCAGGGGTGGGTGGGGGATGTGAGAAGAGAAGGATGGACGGATGGACGGAGGGTATGGGGAACGGGTAGAGGAGAAAGAAAGGAGGATGGGGGAGGCAATGGTTTCAGGGATGGGACAGGAAACCCGGAGCAGCGTGGAGGGGGGGGGGGGATGATGGGAGGAGGGAACAGAAGAAGAGCTGGAAGCGGGGATGGTTGGTGGGAAGCTTGGAAGAGAGGAGAAAGGAGGAGAGAAAAGGGAGGGATGGACAAGCTGGAGGGGGGATGGAAGGATGGGCAGGCGGAGGGGGAGGCATGGGAGAGGGAAGGGGGTGGAAAAAGATGTGGAGGGGGCCTTCAGGGTGCCAGTAGTTGCAGAAAATATATAATGGGGGGTTGGCACAGTGGAGCGGATGGTGAAGAATGTAAAATGAATCATCTTGTCTTTCAGCTGGCAGCTAAAACGTCCAGACTGAGACTTTGACAATTATTTTATGTAGATCCTCATTTTGTTTCACATTTTCACACATTTCATGTTCCCGTTATTACAAAATATGTGTGTAAAAGTCTAAAGCCTGGAAGCTCTTAAAGGATAAATTCACCTTCTTTTGAAGTTCGAAACAATACTCACATGCTTTATGTCCATTTTACCAGTTATTATTCCTGCTGTTAACAACACATTCATTCTCATTCCTTAGCCCAAATTGTTTGATTTGAATTTGAAAAGAGCTGATGCTGCTGTAACAGAAGGTCTCTGTAGGGTTGTGTTTCCCTGGTTGCCTCGCTGACTGCAGCAGAGGGATAGAAAAACTGAAAGGAATTTTTTTTAGATAAATGCTCCAAGACGATTGATTTGGATGTGCCCTTCTTGATTTGGATAATTCGGCTTTGAAATGTATTTCTGCGCAAAATGAGGACTGTGAAAATGACCTCTTAAATTTGAATTCCAAGAATTATTGACAAGGGGACCCCATCTTTTAAAGGGGAAGTACTCCGATTTTACACATTAAAGTCTGTTTAATGGTCTGCCTAATTGAAGATTAATGTCCTCAAGTTATGATCTTACAGTTTTTGATTAGATTAGATTTTTAAGACTTATTTAATGTGAATTGGAATACAATGCAAGATCCAATTACAATATCTAAAACTGTTATTAAGAATTGTTTGGCTTCTTTAGCTACCACACTTATACGTGTAGTGTGTGTGTGTAACCATTTCTTGACAGGAGAAAATCATAATAGGCAGCTCTGCCACTATTTACACATTCACAGGGAACTACAAATAGAGTGTATTTTCCACGCTGATCTGTTTTTAACTGTCTGCTCATCAGATACTTTGCCTCCTTTACATCTCCCTGCTTACATTCAATTGAATTTTGAGTGATGTTGATCCGCTTTTGTTGGAATGGAGGAAAGGCGGGAAAAAGAAAACCCAGTGAGGCTAAACATCTCAACGCAGCGCCCATTAGTTTTATCTTTAATTGTCTCCGTGTTCAGATCCTGGTGATTGACAGCTGTGGCGGCAGGGACTCAGCCAACTGAGCACGAGGAAGGCGGTGCTAACAAAATGCCTTTTATCTCAAAGAGAAACAAAGCATATTTTCTGCTTTAAAAGAGTTACAAAACATGTTTATTCTATAACTCAAATATTCTCCATGAACATCCATACCTACCTCTTCCAGGCTTTTACATCCTCAAAGGAAATATAAATCTGGGTAAAACAATCACTATTCATTTCAATAAAGTGCAAAAAGTGAAAGATTATGCCACTAATTATTATTGTCAATTTCAGAAAACCTCTCCCTGATTGTTGTTTAAACTGCCTGGTTTTATGTGTGTGTCTTTTCTTTTCAGATATAGGATGTGTTGATGATTTTTCCAAGGGGAGAGAGGGCAAATATGTGAGAGAGAAAGGCGAGGGGAAGGATGAAAGAGGGGGAGACGGACTCTAATTGAAAGACATTGTGGAGACAGAAGGCAAATGAGTGATGACAAAGAGAACGAGCAGAAAGCAGAGGAAGAGTGAGAGACGGGCTGATTCCTTTGAGCCTTCAAAACTCACATGCAGAGAAAGAAAAACAGCGCTGGGAGAGGGGATTTATACTTTCCTTCGCTAGTAATGGATTTCAATTTCATGCCAATACAGCGCATTATAATTCATTTAAGTGAATGTGGAAAGAACGAGAATAATATTACAATAGATTACACTAACTAAATGTACCCGTTTAAACAGCGTTGACATTTTTTATCCTTTATCTACTCATGTCTACTTTAACTATTACATTTGACAATAATAGAGATTATTTTTCTCCTTACTGAAATGAGGCGGCGCCAGAGATTTTCTTTAGGGGGTGCTGTGGGGTAGCTTGACGTTTCATAGAGGGTGCTCAAACATTTAGTGTTTCCCATTAATGTACCGGTCGCTACAGTTGAATCTTCTACTGCAACACTCCCCACGCACATACACAGTGTACCCGCGACTGTTACAATGAAGGCTAGATAATCAGCTCACGGCATATAGGTGTAAGCAGGGGTAAAGTGCTATTTTTTTTATAAGTGGGGAGTGGACCTAACATCCTCTAGGGGGGTCCGGGGGCATGCTCCCCCGGGAAGATTTGTTTTTAAATATTGAAATGAAAAGCATCAATCTGGTGCACTTTGAGAGCAACATTAAGAGATCTATGGATACATCTCTCAACAGATATGAAACAGAACTGTAAACCTATTTTCTATTTCTTTATGGATATTTTACAAATCACTCAGTACAAATTACTGTCATATAGTATTTCATACCTGTTTTTCATTTATGCTCTTATTTCTTTATACCTATAATGATCATATAAACATGTGCCTCAGAAATACTTGTTTACATTAATCGTGACCAAACTGTTTGAGACCCACTGAGGTAACTTAGACTAAAGTTAACTATCTAAACACTGAGAGAGTCCTTTACTTCACCTGAGCTGAGGTTATCTGAGACTCTCAGTCTGACAGGAGAGAGTTATCCCTCCACCTTGTTGTTGAAAAAGCTCCTTATATCCGTTAGCGTAGCTAGCACCAGATGCTAACCACAACGATCTCCGGTACCGGTACGCTCTCTCTCTCTCTCTGCTCGCTCGCGCACGCACACAAAATGGCTCGTGCCACACACACACAGAGCAGAGCTTGAATGAAACACAGAGACCCAGAAGTAGGCTACTTGTACTGTAGCATATTATTTTCGAATCAATCCTTTTTCAAATTATGAATTTCACACATAAAAAAAAAAAAGACATACATTTCTTGGGGGCGCTAGGGGGTGCTATGGCTATCCTGGGGGGTGCTTCAGCAAAGTGGCAAATGTTACCCAGAATGCAACTCAACTCCCTGACAGGTTTTTTTAGAGGTGGCTTCTAGTCCCCAGCAGAAAAGAGACACTTTCTAACTCCACATCTCATGATAGCCTTACTTACTAGCCTCACTTTTATGCCCACAAAAGGCTTTATACAACGTCTCTCTCAAAACATTAATAGATAATGATGTCTAAAATCAATGGCTTTCCCTCTTTATATTCATTCAAGGTAGTGGTTGTCAAAATCAGCCCCTCAGTCACTCCTTCCTATACTGCAGGATAAACTTTTAGTAGTTCACTATGTTAGCTAAACTGAGAGTTTGGACATTTACTGTATAAAGATATCCCGTTCTGTTTTATCACTGCATCTATAAAACGTTAGGGGTTGCATTTTTGGAAGTTCTGAGGGCAATATAAATAACACTTTTTCGGAAACTCAAACGATTGGTAGAGGGTTAAAAGACTGCTCCATGCCTAAAAAATAAAATGTGACAAGATCATATTGAGAACTATCCCTCTGGCAGGGAGATGTTTGCCATTTGTGCGGCGTAAGAAGTCTCCTCAGGCTCAAACTGAGCTGAGACGACTGACACACTGTGACGTTTGCAGCAGCCTGTGTGTGTGTGTGTGTGTGTGTGTGTGTGTGTGTGTGTGTGTGTGTGTGTGTGTGTGTGTGTGTGTGTGTGTGTGTGTGTGTGTGTGTGTGTGTGTGTGTGTGTGTGTGTGTGTGTGTGTGTGTGTGTGTGTGTGTGTGTGTGTGTGTGTGTGTGTGTGTACCTTTGTAGTCCTGTCCTGCGGTGCTGATGTGCATCCTCTTCTGACACTCTCCACAGCTCATCAGGAAGTGAGTCACCGCCTCTCTGGGCAGGAAGGCGTACGTCTCGGCTATCTGAAGGAGAGACGGGTTTGTAAACTCCGGTTTATACATTGCTGTGTTGACAGTTTTATAAATGCAGGTTTTAAGTTTGTAATTTCTTACGTTTCCGATAATGACCCTTTAACAGCCCTAAGTAGCGCGGGCATGGACTGAGTGAGAGCAAGAAAGGAAGTTTTAATTTGACTTATTTAAAGATGCATGCTCTATCAAACCTGAAATCTCCATACCAAAATACTATGAACAAAAAACACTTTAGTCTGCGGGACTGACATTAATATCTAAAATGTTTACACCAAATATTTATATATAAATATAAATTATTAAACCACTAAAAAAATGTAAGTTATGAATCTTTATCATTCATATATTGTTGTCATCAAAAAGGGCCAGAATGGCATGACAGGCTGCCATTACCTGTCATGCCATTACTTGTCTCAAAGCGTTTAAAGATGGCTTTTTTTGGATGTGACTGCACTCTGTATTGTTGATCATATGAAGTCTATGAATTAGTGGGTGTGTTTGAATGTGCGTATGCATAAATCAAACATTTATTCGGGAAGAGAGGCACAAAGACACAAAAGAGGAGAGGAGGAAGGGTGGAAAATAGCCAGCGTGGGTGGGTGGGGGTTGCTGTGCTGTGTGTGTGTGTGCGTGCGTGTGCGTGTGCGTGTGCGTGTGTGCATGCGTGTGTGCGTGTGCGCGTGCGTGTGCGCGTGTGTGTGTGTGTGTTGTGTGTGTAGGAAGGAGGGGGTAAAGCAAAGGCAAATGTCACTCACAGCCCTCAGTGGCACTCAGACCTGCAGCTATGTGGCATGGAAAGCTAGCTCCTGGCTTTAAGGATACTATGTGCTGTATATAGAGCAGAGGAGATGGACACAGAGGACATTCTGACAGATCAATCCTCATCTGTTTTATTCTATTTTATCTATCTATTTCAAACAAAAAGAAAGAAGATGTCAAGATCTCTAAAAAATAAAGAAAGGAGGGAAAGGAATGTGAGCAAAGTGAAACATGAGAACAATGAAAGCTGGCTGACAGACAGTTGTGACAGCTTCCCTCTGCAGGGAGATAAATCTGTTGAAGCTGCACTTCCCCCGTTTAACCAGAAGAGGGCAGTGTCATCAGCTGAACAGCACAGGATGCTCTTTTCAACTCCAACAGCACAGGTGGATTCATTTCAGCCTATTCCAAAACTCATAACCTGACCAAAGATTAAAAAATTAAATACATTTCTGCCCTGATCACTAGGAAAATGTCTCCACATGTTTACGATTGTTTTCTTTTTTGGTTTAAGGTTATATTACATTATGTGTAAGATAAAGTCCATGTCCAAGGCTGTGGAATTAACGAAGTCCCATCAGTGATAGTAAGATGAAACAAAAGGATTGGCGGAAAATGAATTGACAAAGAAAAAAGGAAAATAATGGGAATGGAAAAAATAGTCCTGCTGATAATGAGAGTAGGCCACTTTCACTCTCTGTCAGATGCATTCAGTGACCTATAAAATAGCAGTGTGAAATTCATTTACCATTTTGTTCTCTCTGATATTGATATTTTAAATACAACTGCAAGAACAAGGGGGTTTTTCAGTCATTAGGGCAAATCGTTAGTTTGTATCTCGGGCAGCAGCTAACAATTATTTTCAATACCAATGAATCTACCAATTAATGTAACAATTAATTGTTTCATTTGCTTTTTTCTCTTGGCCCTCCTGAATTCAGTTTATTGTCACGCAATATATAGAAATGCAGATAAATCCCCATAAAAAAGAAGCTGGAAATACTAATTATGTCTAACAAATAACTTGAAAATAATTATTTTTGTGAAGATTGGATTAATCGACTAACCCAGCTCTAAAATAGCCTGGCTCCCGCTATTTAACATGATCAAAAGTAGAAATTGACTGGCTGTGTCTGCTAGTTTAGTTTTGCGGAGATTCAGACTGAAATCCATCTGATCAAATACTGAAACCAGGCGGTCTGTTTCTTTTCTCTCTTTTTTACAATGGACTCTAAAAGAGGAATGAAGAGCAGAAGAAGAGGAAGAGAGATAAAGGGAGGACAGCGTGTGTTGAGCAACACAAGTTATGAAAGAGAGAACACACTCAGCAGGGGAGAGGATGCCGTGAGACAGAGGAGACAGAGGCGTGAAACTAAAAGAAAGAGACTGTTGACATAGTGAGAGTGAAAGACACATGAGAAACAATCAGTAACAAAAGAACAAAAGAAAACAGACACAAACACCAAGAAGAATCAGATATTGCACATGTGTTTACAATAAATATATGACATTCTGGTATTTTAAACATGTAGTATGAATGCTAGCATGACAAGATTCTTACAGCTTTGTAGGTCTTCTTCTGGCCGGCATGTTTCGGGGCTTTTCCGGGGTCCGTGCTCATCTCCACGTGCATGGCATAGATGATGTCGAAGAAATCTTCCACCACCGCCACACGCTTCAGGGACGAGTCCACCCCGGACACTCCGTCCACACACTGGAAACACAGGGAGAGACACTTTGAATTCCCTCAAGTTTGTCTGCTTGTGTTTTACAGTTCACAACAAAGACAGTAACGATAGAGGAGTCGAATGCAACAAAGATTTTCAACCAGAATCAAACCAGGAACGACTACAAGTGACAGGAAAAAGATCGTTTAAATGCGACCAGAAATATCTCAAAGTGTTTAAATCTGCTTCTAAGACTCAATCCATCCTGACAGAAACATGATTTAAGACATAGGGATAATATAGGGAGAGTTAAGATTGTATGACTTGTTGCATCTAGAAACTCCCAAACTCAAATTTAAAATAGGTGTTAAAGACATAAAAAAGTATAGCAAATGTCCTCCTTAGCTTGCTCTAGAAACTTTTCTTAGTAGATTAGATAACGCCACAGAAAATCCACCATGTTTCTAAAGTTTGATTATCAGAATTGATTAATCACAGCCCAGAAAGTATTCCTTCTGTCTAGTGCAGGAACTAATAAATAAGAAATATTTTTTTTAAAGTTCATCAGTATGTGAAAAAAGCTTCAGATGCCGCAAATCAATTGTAATAGCTGTAATATTTTGACTCTATCTACGCCAAAACCTGTATTGCATTGTTTTGGAACAAGGCTCACAGCCCAAGCATCACTCATTGGTTGTGACGGATGCTGTCAGGCCTCCCATTGGAGAATATATCCTATATATTAAGAGCTAGACGGCATGCATTTTAGATTGTATTGAGGCCCTTCATTGATGATGTTAAGGATCTAAATGTATGTAATGTTCAAGAGGATCAATAGATGCATTGCAGTTCCCGAGAATGTGTAATTGTGTGTCTTTTCTTTTCTGTGTTATGTTTTTCAAAATATTGCCTTGTGTTATACATAAGCTTTTTATTTTGCAGATTATTTTTGTATTGTTAAGTAAAATATTATAATAAAACATTGTGGTAAAAGAAAAACAATGTGGGCTACATGACTGAAACAACGTAATGTGTCTGGTTTCAGTGCAAATTTTAACATTTACTCTTCGCTTCCCCAAAAATAAGTGCAGCCGTATTGGTTATTTTAAAGGTTATTTGCATTACATTATAACTTTTTTTATTGTTTTATAGGTTTAAAATGTGTATTTTTTGTAAAACATTATGTCAACATGTAAAATAAGAACATTTAAGGAGTGTAAATGAATACCATAAAGCAGCCTTAACACACACATCCTGCCAGGTCTTTAGCTGCTGTAGATATTTAAAGCGTAATGAAACGTTTCCAACATGCTCATTTCCTCTGATGTGTAATGGTGTGAAATAAATGTATGACTTATAATTATACTTAAATGACTGAGCAGGCCTGAATTAGACAAAGGCTCCTACACCTGCTGCATGTTAACCACAGATCCCAGAGGACAGAGCGCTCTCCCTCTCTGCCTCTCACAAACATGGGAATACCAGGACGTCTGGACAGGAACCACCCTTTTTCCCACAAGGCAGTGGGAGTGGGAGATGTACCTCGGTGGAATTAAGGACTCAGAAGGGTGGGAAGAGTGTCAGGGTTCCTGCAGGTTTCACCAACTCAAATTTAAGACTTTTTAAGACCTTTTTAAGACCACTTTGAATAGAATTTAAGACCTATTTCACAGCAACAAAGTATGAAGGAAAATTGCTATGAAAGAAGAAATACGTCCCATAATTAATTACAAAGTAAATGTATTCATGTTCAACATAAAAACAATGACTGAACATAACAGCATAACAGTACACAGAACTGTGTTAGCCAAAAGTGTGTCTGTGTCTGTGTCTGTGTGTGTGTGTGTGTGTGTGTGTGTGTGTGTGTGTGTGTGTGTGTGTGTGTGTGTGTGTGTGTGTGTGTGTGTGTGTGTGTGTGACAAGAGCTATAGTCAGAGCTCTGCTGCCTTCATGCTGTTGTATGATTGGTGTTTAGCTACGGTATTTAGCGTCCACAGCACCTCCGCTTTTAGGGTTGACGTAGACCCAAACGTCACCCGGAGGTCCCTCGATGTTGTTGCGGGAGCAGCTTCAAACACGTTCCCCTCCACTGGTTTCAACCAAGCACTACATTCGATGTTTTCCAACCAAATACGGTTGAACTTGCACTTCCCCATATTTATTTGTAAGTAGATTTGAAGATACCTGAGTTTCTGACTGCCGCTAGCTGAAGCTTGGTTGGTTGCTAGGTTACTAGCTGGGTGTTCTCCGATAAGGGGCCGGGGGAAACAAAGTTAGTGATTACTAGTTACATGTTGATTTATTTCAATTGTTGGGGGGAACTGAAAGGCTATTACCGTACTGGTTACGTTGCAGCCCGGACATTTCCCCCAAAACACATTTAGACGTGATCGCAACACAGAAGTACCTTTCAAATCCTTTCTTTACAATTAAATCACTTCAGAACAAGAAGGTTTCTAGTTTCCCACAAAAACTGAAGGTCAGTGATTCTTTTATTTCAGATTCAGATGGTATGTCTAATGCCTTTAATGCTCACTTCAAAAAGGCTGGTCACATTTTTGATGAGCAAAGTCATGACTCTCTAAATGGTCGTACTCACAGCCATAGTCAAGAGTTGAACTCCCCTGTTTTTGATTTCGCTTATTTCTCGGTCTCTGAAGTCTTACAGGGTTTGCACTCAATTGATCCTAAAAAGTCTGCCGGGCCTGACGGCCTTGACCCGTTCTTTTTAAAAATTGCAGCTCAGATTATAGCACAACCAGTAACTGATATTTTTAATCTCTCCCTGTCCACTCACACAATGCCAGCTGTGTGGAAGCAAGCTCTGGTATCGCCCCTCTTGAAAGCTGGTGATCCCACGGAGTTGAATAACTATCGTCCTATCTCAAATCTTTCTGTGTTATCAAAGATTCTTGAGTCCCTTGTTTCTACTCAGCTAAAACTTTTTTTAAATTCACACAACATCCTTAACCCTATGCAATCTGGATTCAGATCAAAGCACAGTACTGTGACTGCCAGTCTGAAAGTCTTAGACGATATTAAGACTGCTTTGGATAAGAAATCAGTTTGTGTTGCATTGTTTATTGACCTAGCCAAAGCATTTGACACTGTAGATCACCACATTATGTCTAATGTTATGTTGGTGTCTCGTTTCGGTCACAATGCCATTTGCTGGTTTCAGAGTTATCTAACCGACCGTACTCAATGCGTCAGGTTGGGTAGTACTGTCTCTGACCCTGTCACCTTGGAGAAGGGAGTTCCACAGGGCTCTATCTTGGGACCCTTGCTCTTTTTATTATATGTAAACAATATTTGTAATCAGATGCAATTTTCTACCTATCAAATGTATGCTGATGACACTATTGTATACTCGTGTGCTCCTTCTCTGGATATGGCCGTTTCCAATTTAAAATCAGATTTTATCACGCTGCAGCATGCGCTTCTTGATTCTAAACTGCTATTGAACAGTAAGAAAACCAAAGCAATGCTTTTTGCTCCCAAGTCAGCGTCCTCCTCTTGCCTCTCCATTGACACCCTTGATGGCGTTTCTGTTGAGTTTGTTGATACCTACAAATATCTGGGCTTTTGGTTGGACAGTAATCTGAACTTTAAACACCATATTGAAGTTTTAACAAAGAAATTGAAATTCACTCTTGGCTTCCTTTTCAGATTTAAATGTTGTTTTTCAATTTCATCCCGTAAAAGGTTGGTCTCTGGCTTATTCCTGTCCCAGCTGGACTACGGTGATACAATCTATAGATTTGCCTGTCCCACTGTTTTGGCCAAACTTGACCCACTTTACCATGCTGCACTGCGTTATATATCAAATGCACCCTATAGGACTCATCATTGCACACTGTATAGCCTAACTGGATGGTCCTCACTTACTATGCGTAGGATGCAGCACTGGTTTTTATTAATGTATAAAGCCATTTTAGGTAAGCTTCCACTCTACATATGTGTCAGATTTGCCCCAGTTTGTGACTCTTACAACCTCAGATCCAGTGCCTGGATACGGTTCCAGGTACCTACTGTACGGACTGAGGCTGGAAAAAGGAGTCTTTCTTATTATGGTCCTTGGTCTTGGAATGACCTTCAATCACGCCTTAAACTGAGGGCACTTGTCTCTATATCATGTTTTAAATTGAAGTTGTCTGAAGTCCTCACCACCAGCTGCTCTTGCAGTAACAAGTAGTGTACTTTTTTTTATTGTCCTAATGTGCACAATGTAGTGACTGCTTTTTCGTCTTTTGTTTTCTTTGTTATGTTCTCTGTATTTTATATGTTTGTGTTATGTGTTATGTGTAACGTTGCTGCCTTCTTGGCCAGGTCAGCATTGAAAATGAGATTTTATCTCAATGTTTTTATCTGGTTAAATAAAGGTTAAATAAAAATAAAATAAAAAATTCTTATTTTTTTGATCATATTTAAGAATTTTTAAGGCCTTAAATTCTGATTATCAAATTTAAGACGTTTTAAGACCCCGCGGGAACCCTGAGTGTGTATGTTTGTTTTTTAGGTAAAGAAACAGAGAGATAGAGAGGATAGACAGGGGAGAAAACTAAGCGGGGGAGTAAGACATGGAGGAAATAGAAAGGGGGGGGGCTTCTTATACCTGCCTAGACAACTGAATATGTGTCAGTAGCAAACAACACACACACTTTTCCAGCTGCAAACAAGTAGCACACAATAACGCACTGCCATGGTAACCAATGAGAGCTTGTGTGTGTGTGTGTGTGTGATTCTACATGTGAAAGAATATATATGTGTGTCTGCATCATATTTTCTGCAACATGTTGTGTGTTGAAGGGTTTCTAACAATAACTGTGTCACTAGTGAACAGATTGGGAGTCTTGGAGGAAATGACACACACACACACACACACACACACACACACACACACACACACACACACACACACACACACACACACACACACACACACACACACACACACACACACACACACACACACACACACACACACACACACACACACACACACACACACACACACACACACACACACACACACACACACACACAC